ATGAACTTGTAGAAAAGATGACACACCACCAAGTATCAGCCTCAGCCTCAAAGAAGTGAATATGACTTATAATATACTGTGCAATCACATATTAAGAGTTTTTACTCAGTTCAAGTTTAAAAATTAAAGTATAATATTTGCTTTCGCTGCTTGTTACTTCTCCTTGAAGAAAGTGTTGTTTTTGGTTTATACATTTTTGCACTTTATTTTATTGTATTTCAATCCAATTATGTTTTAAAATATTTTATTCGAGTAAATGATCGAAATTACTGTACTATTATTTGTTTTTCTTTTAAGTAAATTTAGCCTACTTTTGCGAAAAGAGAAAATACGGACTATTGATAGTGCCTTGAATAATATCGGCTTCTTTCATTCATGTTATGGGTATTTTTATACAAAGGAAATTTTTTTGTGCCCATTGAAAATTAAAGTTTACTGACATAGCCAAAAAAAAAATGTTGCTTTATTTATCTGACCATATTGGAATGTATTTGTTAGGTTTTCAGTCAGTTAAATTTGGTTCAATAAACAATATGTGGTCATTTTTTAAATTTTCAATGAACATTCGATCAGTCCGGCCCTCGGCTTGCAGCAAAATTTTTTATCTGGCCCTCCGTCCATTTGACTTTGACACCCCCGATTTAAGGAATACAGATTCCTGTTCATGAGCAGAAGAAATAAGTAGAACTAAATTTAGGAGACCATCATGTGCTATGGTGACCTCTACACCAGGTGGTCAGACACTAAAACGCCAGAGCTGGCAACTATTTGGATGTTGAGTGGACTCCTCAAGAAAATAAATGAGGTGAGTATACAATTTTCCACTCTCCATGTGACCGAACTCTAACAAACGTGATTCTAAAACTCGACACATTTTAAAAACATTTCCAATGTCGCCCTGGGGACACGGCAGTGTGAAAATTGGCACTTGTGCTGAGCTCCAGCGCCACTAAGCAGAGTGACAGGATTACATAACAACAGTGGGTGGGAAATCGAGGAGCAGGAACGATGGCCCTTCTCACCACACTTTGCCCTCCTTAGACACTTCTAGGGTCTAATATTAAAACCGTCCTTTCAGATCTCATCACAGTGGGACCCAAAAGCCAATAGTTTTTTTCTCTTTTAATTTATTCTCCACACTAAACGACTACAGTAACGTGTTGCCGCAGGCCTCGGTGGGACTAACCAGTCTGACCAGACAAGATGAAAAACAGGGGTGAGAGAGGGGAAAAACAGGTTAGTGCTAATTAAAATGACATCTCAGGGGCCCACCTGGAGACAGCCATGTTAAATCTTGACGTGTGCCTGCAAGGTCTTGCATACCTTGTAAAAGGAGTCCATGGACAGCAAGACAACCCAGGGTACATCGAGGGCTTCAATTATTTTTCTCGCAACGGTCGTCTTTCCTGAAGCGCTGCCACCACACAGACCTGTGACACAATGTTGACGTATTACAGGGTTGTAAAAGGGTTCTTCATATTCAGTTTAAGACTTTTTCAGACCTATTTAAGACTGTAAAAAAAATGCATTTGTCTTCATTTAGTTCTCCAGTGTTAAAATGTGGAAGATGTGGAGGAACGCAGCATATTCAGTAGACTACTCACACGACACCACCGCAGAGGAGACAACAAACAAACTGAAAAATGCCGGTGGTAGAGGAAGTTTGTTGCTTACTTCCCATCGAGTTTATGTGCTTGGGCAACTTGGTATGGGAATCTTCATGCCCATTGTACCCAGCTAAATTATTTTCTTTGCATACAATGCAAAAGGCATTGAACACAGTTATCCACCAGTTTGGGTCAAAGGCGAAAGGAGTTTTAACTTAACCAAACTTCGTTGAGTTCACATTTCCCCATATTTCTAACATGACGTGTGGCTTGGTCAGGGGTTAAAAGAAAGAAAAAAAAAAACATTTGACGAAAAACTATGTTTAAAACAACTGCAGTCGATGAACTAAAATTTTGCAGGGAAATGGGACGTACACTGATTCTTTTTAAATAATACTGTACATGACAAGTATATCTTGTCCAAAATGTAGATTTTCAAACAAAGTATAAAGGCAGAAAACTGTGTAATTGAGACATTAAAGTAAATTCTGAGTGTTAAAAATAAGGTGGTCCACCCTCAGATTTCTTTTTTGTGCACTCTGATGTATTTTCATGGGTACAAGACTCCCTATAAAAGAAAAATATTGATGCAGTGGTACCTCTACTTACGAAATTAATTGCTTCAGCAAAAAATGAGCACCAACCAATCTCTGTTGCTCATTTGATCAGAAGTTGCCAGTGAGTCAGTCTGTCACTGACGGACAACCGTTTTGCTGATGATTGATGGGAAAATCTAAAGAAAAAAAAGCAAGGGACTTAGTTCTGATGGAAGTGGTTTTTCGTCCATCAGTGGAATCGTCACCAACCGGGTCAAGTACCGACAAACTTCTCAGTTGATCATTGACTGATGCACGTTTTGCTGAAGACTGACACTAACACGCCCTGCCGATCTTATAATAATAATAATAATAATAATAATAATAATGATAATAAGAATAATAATACATTTCATTTATAAGCGCCTTTAAAGACACTCAAGGACACTTAACAACCAAAACAAGAAAAAAAACACTAAAAAAAGAATAATTGCAGGTGAGCAGCGGCAGCCCGACGCGCCAGCGTTCACTCTTATGTG